TTAAGCAGGTGCCTACCCTCTGCGTAAACCATGGGTTACAGCTGTTCAGTTATCTACTGGGCATTCCACGGTCTTATACTCTTAAGGTCAATGGTTTCATGTACAAACTTCATGTGGGGTTACCTATCCTGCACAAAGTCTATTGGCGAACTTGCAGGTAACAGGTAAGCCTGGGAATGGATGCTTAGTGTGTACCTATTTGTAACTGTAGCACTCCCGTAACTCAATGCTGACGGCTGTGCGAGGATGATAAGAAAGTTGGCATCGAATGACTCATGGTCACCTTCCATCAGGCTCGTTCGCCCAGTAAACTGACACATCCCAACTTCAAGAGACTGTATTCGTTGATGTCTTCGTTTTCAGTGTTTCCGTCCCTGCTGTTGTCAGGGTAATTTCACTTTGCTACGTCAAAACTGTATCCGAAAGTTTCACTGCCGTTTTATTGATCCGAATTCAAGCTTGTGCTCACCCACATTCGGCTTCCCAAGTCACCTAGGTCCTTTCATTGTCGTAGAAATTCGGTAAACGCATGTGTTTACTCAGAACTGCCGATAGGCGATTGTTGTTAAATTAGTCTTTGCACGGCAGCGAAAAATCAGGGCCGAACACTGATGTTATGCTGTCGATGATGATGTTGGTGGATGAAATAAAATAATGAATAATCGTTCAGCTCTAGCACCCTTTCGGCGCCTAGCTTCAATGCCACATGAAGGAGGCACGAGGGCTACGATACTGCCAGGTTGCTCAGGGGAGGTCGAGAGGCAGAGGTCGGGTTCGAGCCCCGTACCTTCCTGTCAGCAAATTCGTGCTCTAACCACGAGCCATCTCTCCCCCGATAATGGATGATGATTTTCGGATGACATCCCGCTTTTGATGCAAGAACTTCTCTAGGCCAGCTGACGAAGATATTCGACACTTAAGACAGAAGGGGAACCAGTCACAAAAACCCTCTTCATAGTTTCAGGTTAAACCAGCGTTAGATGTCAGTTGAGGAATTTTTTTGAGGGGGAGGGGTGGGTCAGCAAGCTTTAAGAACTAAGGGAGAAACTCACATGGATTTGGGTCGAACCTAGTATCTGGTTCTTTCATCTTCCACCACATGAATATCCCTCTCTTGAATATCGTTTGAAATTTTGTCCGTCTGTATGGACAAGCTATTTCTACGGCAGTTTGTTAGGGGTTATGTGAACTTTGGTCGGCTTCGATTCTGTATTCCTTTTGCTAATGATTCCACGATTATTAGTAACCACACCCGGAGTTACATGTGAACTCGACTTATCTAAGACCGCTCTCCATACACTCCCTAGTTCTCCTTCTGCCTTAAATCTCTTGTAACCTAGTCATGATGAGGTTTTTGTGTCAAAAGCGGAATACCACTCAGCAATAAATCTACCGATTGTTTTCCAGTCTTTTCCGA